GGGGGGGGATCCGGACCGCGACGCAAGCCGTAGACCCATTATGAGGGAGTCAAGACTAAAAATGAAAAGGCGAACATGTAGGAAATAATCCATTTATTTCGACCATTTTGTTTCAGAAATCCGCGTATTTTTGCTCGATCGCACCCTAGTCCGTAATATTAGTAGTAATTTAACTTGACAAAAAACCATATCGATTCAATATTTTGATGTAAATAAATAAATATATATATTTATTAATTCTTTGCATCTACTTGCAATGCATAAATTTATATGAAAATCCCAAGTTTGAACCCCCATTAAGTTCGCCTTTCGTCCATACCCACAACTGCCATACTGGGTTGAAAATTTATATTTGCATAAAAATTAACCTCAAAGCTCGAAACCTTATGAAATGTAGTGAAGCTTCGTCTGAGCAGAGGACTTCGTCTGAGCCCGAGACAGGTCCAATGTCAATTAACGATCCGCCAAGTTGTCTGTAGCCAGCCAAGGGCGGGCACGGCAGCAGGGGTGACAAGACGCCCAGACATCATTCCAAACCAACACAAATCCATTCAGAATCCAGCCCAAATCCATCCAGAATTACGCTAAGCTCGGTCCCTTGTTCGAGAGGTCTGAAGCACCATGCCGATAGCGTATTCTTGAATATAATATACAAATATACTATACAGATTATAATATTTTAGAATATATTTGATAAACTATTGGATCGTATGTTTTTAGTTGGGCCCTCCTGCAAGGGCAAGATAACAATCTCCCTAGGCTTTAGCTTCGCCTTCCAACCTGGCCGCGAAACTCATGGACAAACCCACGGTAAAAAACAACAAGGCAAACAACAAACAGTGCAAACGATCGGTAGAAAAATCTCCGGTATTCCACACCATAAGACCCGAAAATGTTTGCATTATTTTGGGAATGTTGGAAAGCAAAATTAATATCGATATCGCGAATATATATCGTGCCTAGTATTATTTCGGTTTTTTATGATTTCAAGATTGTGATCCCCGGAAGCAATTGCGCCTCTGCCGGCCACACGCAAATAGCAATATGGCTGCAACAACAGGACTAGTATGGTAAAGAATTGAACATCGAACTAATTAAGGCACTGTCAATTATGAGAAAACCTAATTCGTATTTACAAAGAAAATGTTTTCTTTTCATAACGCTATTGTGTAAGAAGCTAACTCCAATTTACAAACAATATTATACGATATCCATGATACTTGCAAAATACACCAGATAATTTAGTAATATTAATTTGCACCAAATTATCTCGCATTTATCAATTATATATTTTTTTTGTTTTAAAATTACAAAAACAATTCGAACAAAAAATCATTCAGAATATATAGCCGACGTAATCATAACAAACCAAAAAAAATGCATATACATATATATATCTCGAAAAATACGAATCGAAAATAGATTAAACCAATATTGCCAAAAAACATATAAAATCATTCATTGCATCAAAATTTTATAAAAACCATTACAATATTATTATACAAATAAATTCTATCAACATATTAAATATAAATATTAAATTTCCGATACATTTACACATAACCAATAAAAATAAAAATTCGAACAAGACCTTTTTCTATTACGCATGCATTCGAACATTACAATAAGCAATATAAATGCGTGCATCAAAATAATGCAAGAAGAAATAATAAATATAAATCCAACATTATCTAATTTAAATTATACGGAATTCGAACCCACGACCGACGACGTCGAAACGTAACAGACTTACTTAATAATATATGCCCCAAAACGAAAACAATATATATAAAATAATTTAATAATTTAAGAAAAATATCCTGATCGTAACGGAAACCATAAACCAATTATACGGGAGCCAAGACTAGAAATAAAAATTCGAAACTATACGAAATAATCCGTTTATTTCGAACATTTTGCTTCAGAAATCCGCGTATTTTTGCTCGATCGCATCCCAAACCGTAATATTAGTAGTAATATTTTACAATTGATATAATATGTTTGTGATCTTCAGACTTTTGACGTTAAGTAAAATTACGTCGAATCTTGACATTCCATCCACCCATTGGCATCCGCACCGCCTGACTTTGAAGCATGCGTGTTCGGAAGCTGCAGTGACTTTGGAGGGGTGCTCCCCTCTGCCAACTTATCTCTCAACAGTTAAAGGGAAAGCTCGGAAACGGCCAGCAAACGCCAGGAATAAATGCTTGTGATTGGCCCCTGCAGCTCCCGTCTTGGATGACCAACCTGTGCTTTAAAAACTGACTGATTTAATCCTTGACCCCGGCTGACTGCATTTCTCTGCATAGTATTGGTGTGCTCCCGGCAATACTCTGCGACAATCAAACACTAGATTGTGGGCTATCATCAGGTCGACACTTTCTATGTGTCTGAGGAGAGACACAGACCAAAAAATAACATCAAAGGTTGGTCATCCGAAGTGGATGATGGTATCACGTCACTTGTGACTTTTGCAAACGCTTCGCCATCTCAGGTGACAAGCTCCGTGGCCGCACCTGAGCGCATTTTCCTTATATCAGTGCCACCAAACTGACAAAAAAAGATAAGCCACGGCAACATCAGGCAACACACCCTTCAGTCCCCTTCTGGCGATGCTGACGGCTAAAGGATATGCAAATCAATCGAATTCAAACCTACATTGACTAACAGCATATATTTATATACTATATATGTATATTATACTTTATACTTAATCATAGATCCAAACCAAGCCTTAGGGTGTCTGACCAAAAGCCTCACTAATTCCTAGACTCCCAGACCCACAAACGGCCTCGCTACGCTTTGTGGGCACCCGCGGCGAGAGCGACTGCTCGGGGCCTCCTGAGGGGTCGCATGGGTCGCAGAAAGGTGCTCGACCGTTTGAATGTTTGATTGTACCTAGAGCTAGGCTCATGGCTTTATGGTCCTTTCTAGAAAATTGAAGTCGTTTCTTGGATCTTGTAGATATCCGCTCTAATACACTTCCCGCTGATGCACTCTTCGTTTGGGGAGGCTCTTTCTCAGATTTACCAAAACAATGGCTGGGATCACTGAGAAGTCAAGTTATGCCCCTGGCAAAGGCTTCCCGCATACAATCACAAACTGTATAGCAAAGATGAGAGCCTGAATAGAAAGTGTCAATCAAGTTGACCAGCCACGTTTCACTATGCTGCAAGTGACCCAGCGGAGAGGTTTCCTCCGTCATTGAAGCAACCACGGTCAACCACAAAGGAATGTTGAGATGGACAATCCATCACATGTAAATGTGTTCGCAAATTGGTGATATCATTGTAAATTGATTACAACTACTTGCCATTCCCATCTAGTATCACTCCGCACCTGGACTTTGCAACCTTGTTGGGCGCTGTGCTTGGCGCTCGCTCCTGGCCAAACCTCAAATAGGTGAAGCAAGGAGCGGATGAGATGAAGGAATATGAAGACTGTGTAGCAGTCTGTATACTTCGACCCCAATGTGTAAATCCGGCCCTTAACGTCTCTGTGGCATGGCCCAAATTACTTCCAAGGCACGTCCATTGGCTCGACTGAGAACTGGCCCCGCCATGAGCACCTGTCTCGTGATGTCTTGAGCCCTTGAACATACTGTTGCTACTACTACTACCACCAACCTACCTACTTACCTACCCACCCACCCACCCACCCACCTACCTCCCCACCTACACCTACTACTACCTACTGTGAAGTGTGCACATGAATATGGCATCTCATCAAACCCTTCGTCTGTCTGCCAAACACGGCGCTTTTGAAGTGACATGATATGACATGATGATCCGCAAAGTTCTAGCTTATAGGGGCTCCAAAGAGAATAGGATGACCATCAACCTCTATTCTGAATCTTCGGGTATCTTCCTCCTTTGAAACCTCCTTCTTGAAACTTGAGCTTTCCTGCGTCTTTTCACCACGTCCCTCCCCACTGCCTGGCGCAATTTCCACACGCCACGTCGCCAGCTCAACGCACCCCCGCTCCCACAGTCACCGCTCACCCACATCCATCCACACTGGGTCGTGCACCGCCGGCATGTTTGGCGCCACGCCCCGCGTGCGGGTGTCGTTCGGCGATGGAGAGCGGCTCGTGCGCGCGAGGCGCAATGGGCTGCTGTAGGATGGGTTGGTCGGCAACCTTTCTGCGCCTCAAGCAGCACAAGCACAATCATGTGTGTGTATATATATATATAAGATATGCTACCCCCCCAAATCCCCCAAACATCTACAATTTCTATGCTTTTGACTTTTGACTGATGCAGATGGTTGTGGACCAAGGTGTAGCTGTGATAAGAGACAGTTTGATAGATGCAAGTGAGAAAAGGACACAGAAACTGGAGGACAAACAGTTGATTGGATAAGAACACAAAGATGTCGCAGCATTCAGTTAAACAAAATGAACACACTTTTCTAGGAGGCTTAGGGAAAAGAAACAGAAAACAATAGCGATAATGAAACATGGAAGGCGTGGACATTATGGCAGGGGATGCTATTACTAAAATCATACTAGAGCAAGAAGCGCTCACAATATTTGAGGTTGCAGTTTTCTTTAGACATGGAAACAAAATAGGCATTGATCATTGCAGTGTAATAGATTTTTGCAATGACACGATTCAATAGACATTCAAAGGACCTCAATAGGAAGCAAAAGGACTTTGAACGGACATGAAAAGACATCAAAAGGATATCAGTTGGAATCAAAATAGGAACTTACATGACATCAGAATTTAAAAGGTCATCATTCAAAACCAATAATTTCTCAACGGGGAATCACAAAGAATCAAACGGACTTGACAGGAAATCGATTGAAATCAAAATGAATTTATATAACAGGAAGTCATGAAAAATCACACGAATGAAAGGTAATCGACGAGAATCAAAAGTAATTTAAAAGGACACCAATCACCAATTGTAGTCAAAGGAATTTAAAAGGAAATCCTTTGACATCAAAAGGTTTGTAAAAGGGCATCAACAAGAACCAAAATAGGTTTCAAACATGATTTAAGAAGGACATCCACCGGAATACATAGGGATATAGGGACTTAAAATGCAGACTTCCCAAAGCTGGCTAGAGCTTCGCATGGAGTGTCTGTGCGTGCTCGCAAAGAGTCTTGAACGGGGGGCCTAGAGTCATCGAAAAACAATTGTTAAGTTAAAAAAAAAAAACTAAAAAAGAACGAATTTTCCAGCCGTCTTGTGGAAGGGGGGGTCCTGCAAGAGGGAAGAACACACCCCATGTGTCGAACACTGTTCTCGCAATTTCCCACAATCAAACAATGTACACATTTTGTAACTATTGTCATGCGAAAAATAATGAACGTTAAAATTGTTTGACTTTTTTAAAATCCATAATATTTAAACATTTGGGGGCCAAACGTTTATGAATATGTGTTTTTCACCGGTTCCTGTTGTAGTTAAATCTATACACCTAAACGATTTTGGAAATTGCAATTTTAACTGATGCAATTATTGGCTTGAGAAAGCCACATATATACTTAGAAAGGATAATGAAACAGATTTTAAAAGGAACATATTTATAATGGGTATATATATACAGTATAGATATAAACTTTGGGGGCCGACAATTTACATATTTAGTCTTCCAAAGCTGGAAAGCCTTGGACAAAAACCGTGTCTCCCGTGGCTTCTACCCGACCGACAACAGTGCCAGGCAACATGGAAAAGGCAAAGGAAAAAACGGCACAGGCTTCAATGGTAGATGTGTCACGTGCGGCAAGTGGGGCCACGGGAGCGCAACATCCAACTCAACATCTGGGAAGTCCAGTGTGGGATTTGTCTTCGGCACTCTGGGGTTCTCTGAGGAGATCGTCGTCTCATCACCACGCAGTCATTGATTGCGGTGCCTCTGAATTCATCATCGGAGGTCACACGCTACAACATGTGTGTGTGACCACTGCAGTCGTTCGGGACTGGAACAACATGTGTGTGTGACCACTGCAGTCGTTCGGGACTGGACCCAAGGACAATGACAAGGATTAAAAGGACACTATTAATATTTACAATATTCATAAAATTTGGGGCCAGACATCTATAAATATGGGGTTTTCCCACGTTCCTGGTTGTAAGTATTGTACTATTTGTACTATTTACACATGTTACAAACATTTGGTCTTCCCTTACAAACGAAAAAGAAAAACAACAAAAACAAAAAGTCCAGAAGTCTTGGGGAATGAGGGCAGAATATGGTGTTTGTTTTTCTTGCATTTATTTTGTACTATTCTTGGTGGCATTGGTTCTGGTGCATTCAAATGATGTTCAATTGATGATCTCAAACATATAATATATGCAGCAACTGTTTACACAAAAAGTGTGCATTTCCACGATTGTCACCACTCCACTCCCCATGGCGCCCCCTTCTGTTAAACAAACCCGTATCAGGGGCCTAAGTTAAACAATGTTTTCTATTTTTCTATTATATATATATATATATATTACCTATCTATCTATCCATCCGTCCGTCCATCCGTCCATCCATCCATCCATCTATTCAGATTCAAGATTCAAGATTCAAGATCGCTGGACAAACTTTTTCTAGGCATCTTGAATCTTAAACTTTGAACCCAGGTCCCAAAAAAGCTAGTAGAGTCTTTCTTCGTCATTTTTTGAACTTGTTTATCTCATTTTTTCCACATATATATAATTATATATACAGGGCACCCGCACAGGGGGTATGCACATTAGCGTTGACGCCGACGACACATTGCGACGACACATTCCCTAACGTCACAACCCCCCTGACGACACATTGTGACGACGCCTTCCCTGACGACACATTACCAGCTGACGACACATTCCCCGGTGACGACACATTGCGACGACGCATTGGCTGACGACGCATTACCCCCTGACGACACATTCCCCGGTGACGACACATTGCGACGACACATTCCCTGACGACGCATTGCCCCCTGACGACACATTACCCGGTGACGACACATTGCGACGACACATTCCGTGACGACGCGTTGTGCCCTGACGACACATTCCCCGGTGACGACACATTGCGACGACACATTCCCTGACGACGCATTACCCCCTGACGACGCATTGCGACGACACATTGACCAAGGCGACCGGGTTTTGCGTAATGAGGCAGACAAATCTTTGCAAGGCAGCGGCTGCACGAAAGCGGTTTTAACGCGCTTATTTCCGCTTGGGTCTGAAGGTGCATAGGTGCTTTGGAGTTTGGGAGGAACCTGTGGACAATCAGGATATTAACCATAATGAGGGCTTTGCAACGTGTTTCAAGTTTCTGAAGTGCCCTGGATCGCCACCACCTCCCGCGGCCAGCTTGCACTTGAGCTCTCAGCTCCAGGTTTTCTTTAGCCAGTTTTTCAAGCAGTCTCGTCCTCGTAGAACTCGAAGCGGCCACAGTGTCTGGTGCGATGACTGTTTGGTTGTCATCCTCAACCGACTCAGATCACAGTGAATGATTCGTTTTGAAACGAAGGTTGCTGAGAAACTTCCCTCAAAATTACTACAAGGCAAAATTACTACCGAGGAACTTCTGGAAGCACCGTCCATGTCTCGTCCACTGTCTCATTGTCGTGGTGAAGCATCACCGTTTCATCGACTGTTTCAGTCTCATCATCCTGTAGCCTATTTTGCAAGGCATCCATGAGTTCACGCCGATCTGAGAACTGTGTCCTCGCATCATCATCATCATTAATCGCCATGATGGCACTGGCAGGGGCTTCGGAAAATCAGGGAAGTGTCTGTGAGGAAAGTGTCCCCCTGTGAGTGGAGTGGGAGGGTTTTTTTTGTGCGAGGACTGCAAGCGGGGCTGTTGCACCGGATGACATGGTCGGTTAAAAGTCGGATTGCTTGGTGTGGAAAGGGCAGCAGCGGTTAAAAAAACAGATTCGAAAGTTGCATTCTGGTATGCAAAACCGACGACGAGGGTCAGCCAACCAATGTGAAACTATGAGTACCAACCGCATTAACGGCCAGCAAGCCAGCCTCAACTTAGAAGATTTTTACCATGGGTTATTTTGAAGGTTAAGGTGTTATTATGATTATCATGGTCAGCAAGCCAGCCTCAGCACTAAGACGGTAAAAGAATTGAAGGTTACAGGTTTTGCCACTTGTCTCTTCTACAACTCAAGGCTTTTGGCTGCTCAGGGCTGGGAGCTTCCACATCCTACAGAAGGTGTAGGTGAGATGCCTACGCAGCGTGAAAAACCATCGAGCCTAGTAAGAAAAGCTTTAATGAAAGTAGTACCGATTCCTCCTCAGTGACATGCCCCGAAAAATGAAGACCTACCAAATATACCAAAAAAGTAGATGATTGTATAAGCTGTATAAGCCGGTTTTTTTTGTTCGTTTGCCTGTCAGTTAACTTGTCCTCGTCGCTCCCTTCAATGAGAATGAGCTGTTGCAGGTCGGTTGTGGATGGGTGAAGAAGCCACCTCGCGCAAAAGGGCTTGGCAAACTGACTCACCCCCTATTCCTGGGTAGCCTTGCGTTTGCCGCGGCATCTGCGCCCGAAGCCTGTCTGCCAACTTTGCCCAAGTCAAGCTCTCTGACCGCAGATCGTGGACACGCAAAATAGCCACACTGTCAAAAGCAAGGCAATCCTTTAGGTGTTCCAAAAACGGTTGATGCAAGTGGCTAGCCATCATTTTGAAATACGCAGTGGCATTGTGGGGCGGCTGGTTTTTAACAGCAGAAGCCGCAAGAACGGCTACGCCATGCACTTCGCCAAAGCGTGGTCCGGAAGGCCCAAAGATGACAAGCTTGTGTGGAGCTGCAAAGCTGAGTTGGTTGGTTGTTTGCGACTTGTACCGTTGAACCTCCACCCACTTTTGGCCACTTGCCAAAGCTTCACTCCATTCGGGTGTCAGAATCCTCCGGAAGACTACCATCTTGTCACGAGGTATTTGAGGCATGCTGCTTGGTTTCTTATGGCCGAGAAGCTGATGCCCTGAATCTAAATCCAACGATACGGCATCACCATGACCTGCGGCCTGGAAAGGCTTTTTCAAAGCTGCCAATAGATCTGTCCTTCTCCGGTCATCCTGGTTGAAACTGATTGCAATGTGCAACAGGGCCTCTGATGATTCTTTCAGCAGCACATCATGCTTCGCCCAACCTTGCTTGGCCCGTTGAAATGCAAGTAGTTCACCCT